TGCCATGCCGATGCTGCCGTCTGCAGCCGGGCGCAACTGGTCTCGCCCCGTGGGCGCCTTCGTCTCGGCGTCAGAGACGAATTCCGTCGGCACGACTGGAGGGCGAGTGGCGTCGAATTCGAGGCAGAAAAGTATCTTCTCGGCACTCTCGACGACCTTAGCGACAAGTTGGTTGCCGGTCTCCGTCAAGTCGTCCCCGACACGCGACAGTAGACCCAGTCTACGCTGCGCCTCGGGCAGCGTGACCGAGGCCTTGGCAACCAGCGAGCTGACGTCGGGTTGCGCAATCATGTCACTCGTTGCCGTTTCGTCCTCGCCCTCCTGCGGCACATGCGTCGCATCTGCCGCTTCCGCTGGCGCCAGAAAAGCGGCGGCGGCGGAAATGCCGATGGCCTGTTCGATTCGATCACGCAGGCTCGTCAGGCATTGACGAGCTGACATCTCGGCCTGACGAAAGGCGGCCAAGTCGAGCCGACGCTCGTCAAGACGGTCGTGATGTCGGTGCAGCGATCGAACGAGGCCGGTGTAGCGAAGTGCGAGCTGGTCGCTTTTCGCCAGGCAACTCGCATCGCGCCCCATCGCCTCGACATGCGCCTGCAGACGTCGGAGCTCGGCTTCCCGTCGAACCGCGTCGGTGCGAAGATGCGCCAGCAGGTCGACCGTTTCGACGAGGCGGGCGTCAAGCGCATCCAGCTGCGTCTGGCGGGCACAATCGCGACGACAAGTGACAGTCTCCGAATCGGCCACCTCCTGCCAGACGTGGGTGAGGCCGAGGCGAAGACGCGACTCGGACTCGGTCAACCATTGGGCCAATCGATCGTGCTGCTCGTGAAAACGGGCCAATCGCGTCACTTCCGCGTCAAGCCAGTCCTTCAGGCGGGCCAGCTCGCCGGCGAGGCCAGCGCGCGCCTCCAGCGCCTGGCCAGCCAGTCGGTCAGCGTCGACATCGATCGGCGTTTCGAGTTCATCGGCCAGGCCGCGCAACAGACAGCCCGCCCAGCCGAGCGCCGCCTCGAGCAACAGCTGGCCCGAGGCCAGGCGGCCGGCCAGCTCGTTGGCGCCGGCCAGCACCGAGTGCAGAGCGCTGTAGTCGACCGCCTGTTCAGCCGACGCGTCAGCCGCAACGCCCGCGTGCAGACGCGTCCGACGCGTCAGCTCGCCCAGCTCGGCGCCAGTCTGGCCCGCCCACTCGGCACAGTCGGTCAGCGCTGTCTCGAGCCGCTCGGCCGCCTGGCAACTGGCGCTGGCGGCCTGCAGACGCCGGGCCGCCTGAGACACCAGCGCCTGGAACCGATGCGCCAGGCCGGTGACGCGCTGTACCACGGCGCCGCCGACGCCGGCCGCTTCGCAGTCACCCTCGTCGCCAGCCTCGGCGTCAGCGATCGATGAGACTGTGGCTTTCGGGTGCGGGGAAAGTTGGACAAGGGCTGTGGCCTTGGGGAGGAGGGCATCGAGGCGGGGCTGTCCGGCCA